TCTTTTGCGGCTAAAACGCAGTGAGCGAGGTGGCATGTTTGCGTTTGGCATCTGCAATGCTTTGTGTTGCTTCATTAACATGGTCCAAAGCTTCCAACAGGTTTAACATGTTGAGTTTGGAGTGCAGCTTGGCGGACGCGCTCTAATGTGGCAAACGCGCGTGCGCGCGCCGCAGCGCAATTAGTGCCGGCGGGCGACGCTATGTAATAAAATAAAGATTTATGCTTATTGAGACGACTTTGTCCAGTAACGCTTACGTATATAACCTCTCTCTAAGTGACTCCTTCTCTCTACAGCACACAAGGGATGACTAAGTTTTTATCAGTGTATGTACGAAACATGGTGCAAAGGGCAAGTAATGTAGAAGGAGCACGGAAGGATGTACAGGAAATACAGAAAGCGATACGGAAAACACATTACAGAGATAACTATTAAAAAGGTGAAGAGAACAGACAAAAGGAAAGGGGAAGTAAATGATGGAAGTGGGTTGAAGGCTCACCTCAGCATGATGGTAAGAACGCCAGCCAAAGCTGGCATGCTGTCGCACAAGAGCCCAGTGGGCGGGACTTATGTCTTTTAAGACCCTATATGTGGGCGGGTAAGATGGAGTGGCCGAACTTGGTTGATTGGCGTTGTGATAAGTTTTGCGCTTTTCCTACATCTTACCCCTTCGGAAAGTCCCGGTCCCCGGGACTATTAGAACTGAGTAGGCTCAAATTGACAAAGGGCGGTGATATGATCTGTTTTGTTACACCTAAGGCAGGTATGTGTTACGTTACAGTGTAGACTGTTGTGTGTTCCTAAGCAGTAGAGACATAGCTGGTTGATGAGAAAGAGTTGGATTAGCCTGTCATTAAAGGGCATTGTGGTTTGACAGTATGTGGTATGGTGTGTAGTGCGGTGACATAAAAGGCAGGGAGGGAATTGTGGTGTGTGTGAAGTCACTATGTTTCTACGTTGTATATTGTGCTAAGGAGGTAAAGGTAGAAGTGATTTTCGAGGTGGAGCTGGGGTGGCCGAGAGGAGAGGCACTCTGGGCCGAGGATATTTGTTGTGTGAGATTTTTGAGGATGGCAAAATCTTGGTTTGGCTTTGTCTTTTTGCTGAGTGTGGATTCTGAGATGGTTGTGTAGCAGTGCTGAGGAGAGGGAGCGCGAGATTAGAGGAAATTTTTACAGGCGGAACAGTGTTTTTGATAGAGTTAACATTTGGACTTACATAAGACAGGTGGATAGGAAATTTAGCCGTAGGCATAGATGGTATAATGTGAGCAGAGGAAGAGGAAAAAGTTTGTGAGGATACATTAATATCGAAATTTTGGTTAGAGAGAGGTTCAGAAGGGGGAGAGTTAGAAGGAGAGAAGGAGGGAAAGTAGGAACATGAGGGCGATGAGGAACGTTGGGAGGTACAAGATGAGGAGGAGGAGGAGGAGAATCTTCTGCGCTTGAAGCGTTGAGAGATTACTGGTGGCATAATGGATTGGTCTTCTGAAAAAAGAAAATCGTGTCCTTTGGTTGCGTTGGAAAGGTTTGGGATCCATCTGGCATAAGGCCGTTGGGTGGTCAAAATTGCTGCATCGGGAGCAGCGCACTTCTGAAGTGCACAAATAGCGTGGGTGAGACTCTAAACATAGGGTGCATAGGAAATTGCCTTAAATAGTATTTGAAGGCGTTCGTGAAAAGGCATGGTGGTTGTACAGTTACGGGTATAATGGTTATTGTTGCAGAGGCAGCAGGAACCCATCATTGGCGGTCGGGATCTTTTGAGGGCCATTTGAGGGGGCCTTGCAAGGGAACTAGATTGGGGTTCTGGAGCTCGTCGGACGAGCTCAAGACACATGTTGAAAAGTATTTCAGAAGTTGATCGTCTTGGTGGTGAGGGCGGCGATCGGTTGCATATCCACTTTGTTGTTAGTCTCTCTCGTCTTTCTGCGGCGGAATCAATTGACCACGTCGGAGAAGGAGACCGCGTTGTAGGTGGTGATTCGGGTCTCTCATCTTTTGGGCCTGAGACGTGTGGTCTCTTACGGTCAGAGCGGTTTGGGGCGTTGTTGTAGTAGTTTCCGGACATTTTGATTTCCTGTTGGGATTGTGTGAGGTCTGCGGCGTGTGGTTGAATGACTGGGTTAGGGTGACTGAAGTAGCAGAAGCGGTGTGTCGGAGCGAATGCTCTGGCAGCTGTGGGTAGTGAATGTGTTCGCTCAGGATATATATATATATATGTAAGCGAAGGAAGTCGGAGTCCAGTTCACCGAGTTTTCTCGCTATGATGCGAACGCGTGTTCCAATACATAAGTAGTTTTGCGGCTGATACGAATTAGCGGTATGTGTTTCACGATGTTGCATTTGGGTACTTAGAGGGTTTTGACCTTGATGCGGATTACAACTTCGCTGGCGGGCGACTTGGCCAAAGAACGATGGTGACTTTTCGGTTTCTCTGTGTTTCCCGAGGAAGTTTTTGGTCATGATGCACGTTAGCGAATTGCTTAAGCAAAGAGATATAATCACTGAGAGATACTCCAGCGAACAATTGGTCAAGCTATCAACGCGGCGACCTTCAAGGTCACGACCAGCAACGTGTATTGTAACTTCCGCCAATAGTTCCAAGGTAGGTATTCACACGACAACTACACTGTTTTGACGCAATTCTGGCAAACTGCCGAGAAATAACCTGGTAATGTCATTTGTAGTGTCTATCGTTGCGTCTGTGTACATGTGTGATAGTGTGTATGATAGAGGAGTGTGTAAATAACGCCTTGGTTGTGAATTACCTTGTTTTTAAAACGAGTGTGAAATCTTTTTTATTGTTCTAATGGAGGCATTTTTATCTAGAAGTCGCTATCGTAGTCGTCGACATCTTGCTGACGGCACACGTCGAGGTCGTATTGGCGTTGGCATTCGGGGCAGCAGTTCCCGATAGAGTCGCACCGGTGTCTCGGGAGATGGGGATGGTACTCGGGCTGATACGGCGGAGTGCCAGAAGAAGAGTACGTGTAACAGGTATTGTCCGACGAATACTCTTTGTTGTCATTGGGTAGTCGGATTCGGGGAACTCTTATATACCTTTTCCCTTCGGGTCTCCTCACTAGGTTCTGTTCGTCTTGTTCGGTGAAGTTGGCGTCCAGGGGAATTATTAGCCATATCTGCTCCATGGTCAAGTATACTTCGCTTTCTGGTTCTCCGAGCTTTGCTACCGAGGCGTCTCGTCGTTTCGGCAGTTCGGAGAAGGCCTCATATGCATGATTCAGCACCGTCGTGCCTACGGGGCAGTCGTCACAGTAGCAAAAGTGCTTGCTGATGGGGACAAGGAGTAGAGTGACTGTGTTTATCTCATCCAGGTAGGTTCCAGTATGCCCGTTGAAGGCTCGGGTCGCTATTTCCAAAATAAGGGGCAGTGAGCTGTTCATGGATTCTGCGGGAATCCGGTGGCATCTGTCTTCATGTATTATCTCCATGATCGAACTGAGACGGAGAATGTTAGATTTCGGCTGCGTTTTCCACATATCGCGGGGGCGCTTTTCCGTAATAACTCTGGTGTCTCATCATGTAGTCATCTTCAGGGAGGGCTTTGTGAACTTTTGCGATTAAGAGTTGAGCACTCATTTTCAATTTAGTTGTAAGTTGAGTAGTTCTATAAATAATAAAAGGATTAGTTACACGACGCGAGAGAATTAAACGTATAGGAAGGAGATTGTGTGGAGAGGAAGGAGCAAATTCGTAGTGTCAGTTTAGGAGAGAGGTGTGCTTTTATTGTGTAGGCTATAGTTATCATGTGTTTGTGTTCTGCGCTTTATTAATGCGATCACTTGATGATGAGTTAATTTTACACGCGAGGGTGTCGCTAGTTACCTGGCCAGGCTTTTCCTACGCTCATGAAATGTGTAGATATGTGGAGCGAAAGCTCCTGTCACATAATTGCTTTTTCATGTTGGCCTCGCGTTAGAAGGGCGTAGTTGTGACATGCGCGATGTTTATAAGAAAATGTGAGTTCTTTTTCTGAGTTCTAAAAATAAGAAAACCCAGTGCGGAACTTCCATGTAATAAAATAAAGATTTATGCTTATTGAGACGACTTTGTCCAGTAACGCTTACGTATATAACCTCTCTCTAAGTGACTCCTTCTCTCCACAGCACACAAGGGATTACTAAGTTTTTATCAGTGCATGTACGAAACATGGTGCAAAGGGCAAGTAATGTAAAAGGAGCACGGAAGGATGTACAGGAAATACAGAAAGAGATACGGAAAACACATTACAGAGATAACTATTAAAGAGGTGAAGAGAACAGACAAAAGGAAAGGGGAAGTAAATGATGGGGGTGGGGTTGAAGGCTCACCTCAGCATGATGGTAAGAACGCCAGCCAAAGCTGGCATGCTGTCGCACAAGAGCCCAGTGGGCGGGACTTATGTCTTTTTATACCCTATATGTGGGCGGGTAAGATGGAGCGGCCGAACTTGGCTGATTGGCGTTGTGATAAGTTTTGCGCTTTTCCTACAGCTAATCTAATATATATAGAATTGTAAGCGCAATTCAAAAATGTGCACATAGCGGGAAACCACGTGGCGGTCCCGTAGCGCGCGCATGCTACTAGCACCTTCAACTGCTGGTTCACTAGTATTCGAAAATGGATGGCGGCGTCATGCGATGCTATAGCGTACGTTTGCTGTTTCCTTTTGCGATTAGGCTATTTCACGTGATTTCTTTGCATCCTTCTTACTAAATGTTATTCCAACAGTGCTACAATCTTCTTCTTCCTCTTCCATTTTAGTAAGAATTATCTAAGATTTCGAAATCTCGTCGCAATTTCGCAATTTACTAAGTCGATTGAATCGCTTTGCCTGTTTCGCGTTTGCTATCGTTAATTTCTTATGATCTTATTGATTGATTTTCGCCATTGTAGATGGTGCATTCCGTGGATCGCAGCTTTTGTCCCTCGCGTTGTTTCAACCGAGGGGTTTGCTTCAATACTGCTGGATCGCATTACGTCTGTGTCTGCTATGACATGGATGTAACTACTATTGACTGCGCTGATGGTATTCCTACTGTTGGCTCTTTTGTTGACGAGCCATATTTCTATGCGCTGCTATGGGCTTTGCTGATTATGGGTGAGTATTACTAAAATTGCCTTTTTTTTGCATTTTTTTTAATTTCGAAGGTATAAGCGCAATATATACATCTTTTTTTAGCGTGCGTTGTGGCAATGGTAACGTTGGCTGTAACCGTTCGTTCCACTGTCCGCGTATGCCGTATTCGGCGCTGGAAGCCCGAACCTATGCCTGCGATCTCGGTCTTAGATCGCAACCCATTGGATCAGGTATTCGCATGAGTTGGCGTGATTGGCTATGACGTTACGCATTTTTTTTCAAATTGTTATGCGGTTATGCGGTGCTATGCGGTGCTCTTATACGATTAATCCTTTTGTACGTGCAATACTTTTGTTATGCTCGGGTTGTAATCGCTGTTGATAAAGTAACTACTGCGTGCGGTGATGCATTCCTTATGTGCTGACCTTGCAATACATCAATGTAATGCTCCTTTTCCAATGGTTTTGCTAGGCGTTTATGAACGTATGATGCTTGTTATTGTAGATGCCGCACTCCGTTGACCGGAGTTTTTGCTTTGGGCGTTGCAATGAGCGCGGAGTCTGCTTTATGGTGGACGGCGGCAGCTACCGTTGCGTTTGCTATGATGCAGAGGCGTCGTCGCCAGATTGCGGAAGCGGTGCGACGTCAACTGTTGCGGCTACAGCGGCTGGAGCGCATTTGACTTATGAGCAAGTCGCGGCGCTGGCATTTGGTAAGCGTCTTTGTTTATTTTATTTTTTTTGGTGGTTCTCTTTTTCTCTTTTTTTATCGTCGATTTTGAGGGCTCGTCGTGCTGGTGGGCCTTTTGGCTTTGGTTTGCGCTTATCTCAAACGAGAGTGCCGCACGTGCGCTGAAAGAGGACTGACTTCAGCCCTCAAGCTGGTGGCGAGGAACCGTAGCGCGGTTCCTACTGCGCCGTGTGGCGGGGGTAGAGAGGCGCAGCCCTAAGCCTTGGAGATTATTCACTGTGCATATGTACATAGCATTTTCGTTATTTTGTCGTATTGCTCAGATAGTGCATAGCGTAAAGGGCTTATTTACTTGCGTAGCGTAGAGGGTTTTCCTGTGAATAGCATTATTTGTACATAGTACATGCGTTGTTAATCGCTGCCATGGTGCTATATTGCTGAGTGATATGTGATCTTGTGCGATTCTTGATTATTGGACTAGTCTAGTTGTTGCTTTTGTTAAAGAAATTTCGAAAGGTTATCTGGGGTTTTTTTTTTCAATTGGTCTACTCTATCCGCGAATTTTATCAATTGCTTTGCGTTGAAGGATTTGCAGGGTTATACGGCTTCAAGCGGTTCATGTGGACGGTGCGGAGGCGGCGTCCGTCTTTGATGGTGACGTTAGGGCGCTCTATGTCGGCAATTGGAAATGGACCTTCAAACTTAGGTGCGATTTTTGAACTTACATCCTTTCTTATCAATACTTGTTGACCTATTTGAAAGCTGCTGGGGCTTGCTCTTTTCCTTAAGTCGTAATGATGTTTTGGATATCTTGCGAAGTGATTAGGTTATGCTGCACTTCTTTCCAAACGTTTTGAAGAGTAGATATCAATTGGTCGACGTAATCATCCTCACTGACAAAAGTCTTAGAGGGTAGTTGCAGCGCGAGATGGAAGGCGTTATTGGCTTCTCTGCCATGCATGATAAAGAATGGGATGTACTTGGTAGATGAATTTTCTGCGGTATTGTAAGCATGCGTCATTAGATGAATAATGTCATCCCATTGGTCTTCCTTTTGGGTGACGTGGCAATTAGTTCTTCAATAGTTTTATTCGCGCGCTCGACTTGGCCATTGCTTTCGTGATGATAGGGCGTGCTAATTTTATGCGAGACGTTTAGCGTTTTGAGGGTATCTCTGAAAACGTCGCTGACAAAATTGGATCCCTGGTCGGTCACCAAGGTTTCTGGTGGGCCGAAGCGGCTTACTACTCTATGGATGATTATGTCCGCTGTAGTAGTAGCTTTCTGGTCTGGTATAGGCTCGGCGATTACTAGTTTGGAGAAGGCATCCACGAATACAATTATGAACTTATTTCCATGTAGCGTTAATGGAAGCGGTCCGATAACATCGGAGTGCACGCGTTGAAATGGTCGCTTTGGTCGTTCTAGAGGCTCGTTAGTGCGGTGAAGGATCTTTTCGCAGTTGGCAGATTGCGCATGATCTTTTGAAGTCGCTAATGTCGCTTGACATTTTGTTCCAAATGGCTATTCTGCTTATCGAGGCCTTGGTTTTTTGTATTCCGAGATGAGCCGTGCCAAAGCGAGATTCATAAACTTGCTTGATGAGCAGCTTTTTTATGGTGGAATCTTCGGGAAGCACTATTTGCGGGTCTTGATAGATCTTCTCTGGCAGTATGTATAAGATTCCGTTCAAAATTATGTAGTCGCGCATATAGGGGTTAGGCTCATCTTGCTCTATAGCTTGCTTATAAGAGGCTATCCATGGGAAGTCATTTTGCTCTTCCTTGATCTGATCCATTATATTCGGTGAAGATAAATCAATGTTGTTATTGCTTTCCGCGGAGACAGCATTTATGTGCGGAGGGTGCCTTGACAGAGTGTCACAGACAACGTTTGCCTTGCCTGGCCGATAGGTGATGGTTATATCAAACTCTTGCAAAATTATTTGATACTTTGCTAATCTGCCGGTCAAATCCTTTCGGTGGAGGAGAGCTTTAAGGGGTGCGTGGTCCGTGATTGCTGTGCATTTCGCACCGTCAATATACGGACGAAATTTTTGCACTGCGAACACTACACCTAGCGCTTCAAATGATGGCAGGGTAGCGAGATTCGTGAACATTGAGAGTTCAGCTAGCGTAGGCGATCACTTTGAGGTCCTCATCTTGTTCTTGTTTCAGGACTCCTGCTACGGCTTTTCCGGAACTATCGGTTTCAATGACGAATGGCATACCCAATTTGGGAGCGACCAATATCGGAGCGGTGATGAGTGCTTGTTTAAGGCGTTTCATAGCATTTTCGCATTCGGTTGTCCAAATGAACGGCGCGTCTTTCTTGGTTAATGCCGTTAGTGGTGAAGCGATTGCAGCGAAGTTGTGCACGAATCTGCGAAAGAAAGAGCACATGCCTAGAAATGCTTTGATGTCCGTTGGGTTTTTAGGGGTTGGATAGTCATCAATCGCTTTTCTCTTTTCCGGATTAGGTTTTATTCCGTCCTTGCTTAATACGAAGCCTAGGAATTTGCTTTCCTTGCGTGCGAATTCGCATTTTGACGCCTTCAGCCTCATTCCAATTAATTCAATCTTCGACAAAACTTCGTCAATGTCGAGGAGGTGCTCGTCCGGGGTTTCGGAGGTGATTATCAAATCATCAATGTAGATGAAAACGCGAGCTCTGAGGTGTTTTTTGAAGTCATCCATTATTCTTTGGAAGGTTGCTGGGGCTCCTTTGAGTCCCATGGGCATCCGTATATATTTGAATGCTCCGAGGAAGCACGCAAATGCAGTCCTTTCGCAATGGGACTCTTCCAGCGGAATTTGGTGGAGTCCTTGTTGAAAGTCGAGGAATGAGTATAGACAATTGTTGGCGCACAGATCAATTACCCTATTTTCAGGTGTATAAGCCGCACCCTTTTTGCTCTAAACGCGAGCAGACCCAGGCGTGCCGCCGCGCATATGTCTCGCGAAGCGGTCGCCTTATCGCATACTGCTCTCACTTAACGCGCTCCATGATGACAGTCAGTCCTTTGGCGTGTTCGCCTTTAGAGCGAAAAGGGTGCGGCTTATACACCTGAAAATAGGGTATATCCTGGATATTAGGAAGTATAGACTGCTGCGGCTTCGTTATCGCGTTTAATCCTCTAAAATCAATTGTGAATCTCCATGAGTTTGCATCTCTTTTACGCATTAGAACTATAGGAGCGCAAAAGGGTGATGCGGATTCGTGAATGATTCCATCTTTAAGCATTTGAGTAATTTGGTGCTCAATTTCCGTTCTCTTTTCGAGTGGAACGCGATATATTTTCCTAGTTGGGATAGGAGCGTTGTCTATGAGGTCTATGCGGTGTCGGATCGGTCCGTTGTAATGTCCCAGATGACCGTTGGGTCCGACAAACGCTTTAGCATGCTGGCGAATGATGGTTATCAATTGATCTTTCTGATTAGCCGTTAACGCAGACTTGGTTAGATCTATATCCTTGGTTATATCATAGCTGATGGCTGGTTGGATAGGAAATTGTGGAATCCTTTCTTCCCAGTTTGCTTCTGGAGGAATGTATTCGCTTTGAACAGCGAGTATTTGCTCCATGGGGGAAGAAACTGGAGTAACATAGGCTATTCTCATTCGTTCGTATAATTTGATATCTATGGGAAGGATACAGTATGGTTATAAGACATATCCCGTCGCTTGATGGGTGTACTAAAGAACGACCCACGACGTATAGGAGATCTATGTCCCTTTGATTGTCTTCGATGAGAAAGTCGAACGAATTGTTGGGTGAGTGGTTGTCGATCAAGGCTGGAACTATAAATGAAGATCTTTTGGGTAGAATTGTGGTGTGCAAAAGGCGCACATCATGCGGCTTGACTTCCAAAAAGTTGATGGCATTGATTTGGATCATATTGTGAGCGTCGCTTCCTATCGTGAGCAGGTTGTTATGTAGATCGATAGTTACTTTTAATCCCAATTGATTCAACTTTTTAATAAACTCGGTGCCGAGCAAAACTGGTGCGGGACATTGATGGTCTTGCGATACTAGAAATCGATGAGGAACGGTATGGGTTCCTATATTTACGTCAACGGTCACTGAGGCTAGGAGTTCTATGTGGGATCCGTTAGCTGCTTGCGCTTTGACGTGGTTGTCGTCAACTTTTAAATGCGGTCCAAGCGCGTAGAGAGTGGATTGTCTCATATAGGATATGGTAGCTCCGCTATCAACTAATGCTGGCGTAGAAAGGTGATTAAGCGCTATTCGGACATATGGTAGTGGATTTTGAACGTGGTTGGTCGCGAAGGGTATTGCATAGATGCGAGGGATGAAGAGAGGTTCTTGCGGAGGTAGCTCTACTAATAGAGAATTGACTTCTGGTCGATTCCTGACGTGTTTCCTTCTTGAGAAATTACTTGCCATTTCAAACACGGCTGAAGCTGCCGTGCTGGACGCTTTTCGTATGAAATACATTTTCACGCAACAGATGCATACAACTAGTAATATTCCTACTAGCGCTGGTATAGTTATCCAAAGTAGCTAGGAGATGAGAGACCATCTTATGTTTTCTATGCCATCTGTGAGCTTAGTTGTAGTTTTATCGTAGATCGAGGAGAGTGAGTCTCCTATGGAGTCCTTGACGTCTTTGATCTTGAGAAGGGCCTCGTCCATAATTCCTCGTTTTTGTAATCGGTTTTGCATGACTGCGTATTCTTGCTGTAGTGCTTCAATCTGGTGTCTAATTGTAGGCGCATAGTTCTGCATTATGTGGTGGTAGATAGGCGGTGAATTAAAGAGGAACGGCTGTAAGTTATCACTTAGAAGCATATTCGGTGGTAGCATCGGTTGAACTTGTCCATTCAGATTGGTTACGTATGGATTTCGGTAGACGAACGAACCAAGTCTCCCGTTCCGGGTACTGCAAACCATATTTGGTCTTCAACCAGGACCGGTAGCAGATCATAACATGTTTCGTTGACCTGGTAATTGGAGTACACTTCGGTTGGTTCTACTTTTCATCTTGAGACTAGGAGTTCGTTGTCAGTTAGGGTGGCCACGATGTCGGAAGTTCCGAGTAATATCTTGGCTGCCCAGGTAGGGTCAGCGCGACTGAGTTCGTAGATCCTTTGGTTATTCAGAAATTGTCTTACGCATATGCTGTTGAACTCGCGGCGGATGTTGGCGGAGTTGAGGGGATAATCGCCTGAGCTTGAAGAGGCGGAATTTGTCCGTTTGGATTGCTTATGTAGAGGTAAATTGTGGGATTCCGATGGAGGCAGTGGAATTAATTTTTCAAAACTTAGAACTGCTTTGATGGGAGTAATGCTGGACGGTGAGGCCGGTGTTGTTGTCGTCTTCGGGGTAGTCGTTTGAGTGACGAAGATTGTCGTCGTTTTGGTAGGAGTCTTTGTGGATGTAATAGTCGCCTTTGTAGTTGTCACCTGACGTGACTGCGTCGTGGACTCCTGGTTGTACTGGTCGTCGCTGTTGAAGTAAAAGCGGTCGTTGTCTTCTGACTTGTAGAAGGAGATGGTTTTATCGTCGATGTCGTATATGGATTAATCGGAGTAAGTGATTTAGTCTCCGGGATTACATGAATATATGGTGGTATAACCACGGGTGGCCTGGTGGCGGGTGGCATTGTTATGGCGATCAAAGTGGTAGTTGTTGTATCCTTGAGTGTTGATTTGGTAGTCTTAGGAGTTGTGGAAGCAGTAGTCGTCGTGGTAGTAGGCGTTGTAGTGGTTGCTTTTGGAGGTGATTTAGTGCTAGTCGATGTGCTGGTTTCAAGGCTGTTTCGTTCTTGTTGTATTTGCACATAGGGATCAGCTTCTATCTAATTAGTGACATTCACTTTCTTCAGATCCTCAGGTTGGAAGAAAGGTGCTGGCTTAGCTTTGAGCTTGACAGGATCTTGATCGATATCCAGTTTAGTTGTGCCGAATTCTCTTGATGGATATAAAACAAAACATCTGTGATACCGTACTCGAGGTCTTGAAGGAGTGCAGTCTCGGCGTAGTTCAAGGGTCTTTTCTTTTCAATGGATTGAAGCCAAGAAATTTGGCGATAGCGATATTCGGCATGCCGAATGGTACGGAGGACATTCGTGCGTATGTCTTCGAGCAGGTACATTCGACTTCTGCGAAGAAAGTCCGCGTTGGTGATGTTCCAGAGTTTAATTTCTCTCAACAGAAGAACGTCCGTAATTGGTTGGGTTTCGAAAGCTGGTAGTCGTTGAATATCACTGCCGAAAATCCTTTGAGCTACTGGTAGGGTTTGCGCGGGTATTAGTTCGTAACGCGACTGCCTATTTTCGGTGTCAGTAAGGTATTTCACTTCGCGCTTCCTCTTGAAGTTGTATGAGGTCTCCAAAATAAAATCTTGGACCATTGCATTTGGCGGTATGCTCGGAAAGGAAATAATATGCTGGGATGTGGTTAAGTAGCTATTAGTTATGCTGCAGTGTCTTAGTAACTGCGTGCGAAGCATATGATCGTTACTGAACTCAAATGCCAGCTCATGTTCAGGTATGAGGATAAATTTCATGCTTACTAGCGCGTCATAATTGCCTATGAGGGTGTACGTGCACCATGGTATAACTTCTACAGGTTCCCAGATTATAACCTCATTGGGCGTAAGGCAAACACCGTCGGAGATGGTACAGTTATTCAAGTTTCCTAGGGTGCTAAGCATGGTTTCGCCGTTGAGTGAAGCTATTTGTCCTTCTTCAATGGAATACAGACTGCGCAAATATAAGTTTGTCCCCCAGAAAGGCAGCGATGCATTTTCATCCTCTATTTCTCTGGTTGTCTTTAGACCAGGTGAAACTTCAGTTAGGGAGTGCCCGTGGATAATGCCGGTGGTTTTAGCTAGCTCACAATCTTCCTTCGAAATCGATATGCGTTGCCGACCTACTACAGTGCGTCTAGTTCTTATATAAAGGAAGTTGTGTATAGAGACTTTGATTACGTCTCTGTAACATTTATGCGCTGTTAGTTGTAGAGTTTTGCTAGTTTCGCCGAAAAGTTGAATGTTCGTCTCGATCATGGGTTCCTCTGATGTTGCTGTGCATTGCACTGGTTTTGGCAGTGAAAGCACATTAGGAAATGAACTGCTGCCGCAAATTTGGAAAGCTATTATCGGATTGATGAAGCATGCGGTTATGATTGCTAATATGCACAGAAAGTTTACATTTTGCGCTGCTGAAGGAAATCTGCTGGACGTTTGATAGTATTGCGGGGCGTTCGCTATAGCTGGTACTGCAGCTGGATTAGGACCAACATAAGGCATTGGTTGTGCGTAAGGAGGGTGCGCGACATAGGGCTGATTGAAGAAGCGGAACGGAGCATTTCGAGGGCGGCGGTTCCAAAAACGTGGATTTGAAAATACTCTTCTGGGTACAAAACGCAGTTGGCGCGGTGGATTTATTTGAGTCCGCGGTCGGAATGGCGTAGCTGAACGTCTTGGTCGGAAGTTTTGATTCTGGCGGTCAGGTTGAAATCTTACTACGGAGCGAGGGCGTTCTCTTACGGGGCTCCTGGGCGGATTACGACTCGCTTGCTGGAGACTGTTGACTTGTTCTGTTAATTCTTCTACCTTTTTGGTCGAGTACGAGCGAATTTATGCTTTCTAAAATCTCTTTTTCTTCGCGATATTCTTGCTCTAAGATTCTTTGCTCTTTTTCCGCATTAGCAAGCGCTGTCTCAAAATCTGGTGGGTCGGGAAGTCTTCTTACGGCCCTGCTGATATCGGGTCGCAACCCTTTTATGAAGAAGTCTATGGCGAGTTTATTAGGTATCTTCTTATCTTCGCCTTGATACGCTATTTTGGTTTTTGCTAGGATCTTCTTTGCAAATTCGCCCACTGAATCTTTTCTTTGCCGTAGATGGTGTAGTTCATCGCGAACGTTACTTAGCATGGCCTGGTTCTTAAATTTAGTTGCTAGAGCTTTGGTCATTGCTTCCCAGGTTGCTTTTTCTGCGGGCTTCAAAGTTTGGTACTTAACCTTAGCTCCGCCTGCTAAGAAAAGGCGCAAGAGGCTTTTTGCATACACGTGGGGAATGTGTAAGTTATCTACTAGCTCCCGATAATCTTCTAGGAACTCCTCGAATGTTTTGTCGGAGTCGCCGGTAAATCTTTCTAAGCGCGTGCCCAAAAGTTTGCTTGAAGCATAAAGATCGGGTGGATTGTAGCCGACCCTTTCATCCTGAGTTTGCTGGTTTCTTCTATCGCCGTTTCCACCATTACCGCCGTTACCTCCGTTGCCGTTACCTCCGTTTCCACCATTACCACCGTTATTTCCGCGGTCTTCTTCGGACATGTCAGGTGGTCTTGGATATGTAGAGCGTTGTCCCTTCTTTGCTGATTCAAAGGCTGCGTTTAACTTTTGGAGTAGTTTGGTGAAAGCGCTTTCTGTCTTCTTTTCTTCCTCTTTAAGGTTTTCTGGCCTGGGTGTTGCTGGGGTTGTGAGTAAGTCACCAGGCCAGGTACGGGTTGGTGCTCGCTTGCTTCTACTTCGCGGGTCTGATAGTCGCCAGAGTCTTGACTAGCGGAGGATAGGTCGCGGGGACTACTTGGCTAGTGAAAGGCTGATCACGGGGTTCTAACCTACTTGTGGGAGGTTGGTCGCTAGTATCTACGCGGCTAGTGGAAGGCTGGTCACTTAATTCTACTCTGTCTCTAGAAGTTCTTAGAGTCTCCTCCGCGTCTCCGGATGATTGCTGCTGTCTACGCTCCGCGAGTCTTGCGAGAAATGCTGCTCTTCTTTCGTCAAATCTACGACGCCTTTCTGACCTACTTATTGGCTTGTCAACGATAGGCTTTTGTTTCTTAGAAGGAATTTTGAGGTGGGCTTACTGAGATGTCTGTAGTTTTTTTTGAATAAATTTTTTTCTGAATTTAAGCTATGTGCTTTTTAGAAACGCGGCAAAATGGAGAGTGGAGATGGATCAATAGAAGTGCGACGGTCGGAATAGTCAGAAGTATGAGAATCGCTGCGAGAAAACGAATTTATTGTATTGTTGTTTGTTGATGTGTGTTTGTTTTTTTAAAACTATATAAATGACGAGAGAAAGTGATTTTCACTGAGGCAACTACTATTCTACTTCTTTTCTTTTCAACTTTTTTTCCCGAGGAGATAGATGAGGAGCAGCGAGGATTATCTCGTAACAACACTCTACCAAAAGAGAACGGATCTTGCAAAAGTTCTCTTGTGAATTCTACAAAGTTTTTTTCCAAGTTTATAAGACTCACTTTGATCCTGTGTGGCGGCTTTGTGGCAGTGGCTCGGAGCAGATTATGGATGAGGGTATGCGGGAGGTAGGCGAAGTTAACTTGGGAGAGGATAGAGTAACGCAAATTACTTTAATCAGTTAGTTCGTCCTCTTCGCTGTGGTCGTAGTCCGTCTCATCCGAACTTGTATCGGACCATGAGGTTAGTGGGAACCGCGGCTGGCGGAGAGCAGGAAAGTTCTCCTCTTTTTCATAGAAAAAGTGGAGAGGTATCTGAATCTAGTTTTGCTCTATCATCAGATAGCGCACATCCCCATTCCAATACGGATGACCGGAAGGGTCATGTCATCCGGTAACTCATTCGTGCGATTATAAACGTGGTTTACGAGGGTAGTGCCCACTGGGCAGACGCGACAATAACAGAACCATCTGTTAGCATTTGTCCCGGGAAGCACCATGATTGTTCCGAATTCCGTTAGAAGGCGCCCATTCGCGCCGTTGAATGCCGACTCGGCTATGCTCAGGGCATCGGAGAGGCATGAAGTGGTGGTTTGCGACCGATAGTTCGGCTTCTTGCCTAGTAGTATCTCTAAGAGAATGTTGAGGCGTATGATGTTCGATGTATTGAGCATTTTGCGGAAGTGCACTGGCGTTCTGCCGAATTTGGTCAGGATCGTTCTATCTGACCAATATGCCTGGCGGTCTTGAAGGTTTGGGCGCGTTCTAAGGTGGCGGTGAATCTTCTCAACCATAATTGTACGTTCCATTTTTTTTGCTTGAATCTGTAACATTCAGTTAGATCCGACGCGAAATAACATGATAGAGGAAGTGAAGGGGAAAGGAACTGGAAGGATGTTTATGAAGGAGAGCAGGGCGCTAGAGAGAGTTTGAAATTTAGTAGAATTTTTCTAATCGAGTTGTTGAATAATTATTTTTACAATCTTAAAAGTATTTTGTAATAAATTTTCTTCGCGCTAAGAAGGCGTTCACTTATTTATTGGTTATTTTATACGCAAGGGTGACGCTCGTACCTGGCCAGGCTTTTCCTACGCTTCTGAAAAAGTATAATATTGTTGGAGCGGAAGCTCCTGTCACATATATTTTGTAATTCCTGATGGCCTTGCGTTAAAAGGGCGTAGATGTGACATGCGCAGTATATGAGATAAAATATGTGATTGGAAAGTGAGTGAGTTCTTTTGCCGAGTTTTTAAAGTGTTGAAAAACTCAGTGCGGAACCTCCATGTAATATTTAAAACGATCTTGGGTTATCGCGAGGACTTTGTCCAGTAACGTATGATTATTTTGACTCTCTCTAGTCTTACCCTTCTCTACAAAACATGAATGATTACTAAAGTTTATCCTTATGACATCACGTTATAGAAATTGAATATATAGAGGTATAGACGAATAGGTATACGGCATAACATAAGCTGTAAACTAGGGTAATACATAATCAGAGTACCATAGGAGGTAGATGATATCGAGGGTAATGAGGAGGTTACATGGATACGAAGGATACATGAAGAATACAAAACAATGATAAAGGAAAATGAGGAAAGGGCGATTAAATGAGGTGCGGGGGTGCCAGCCGAAGCTGGCGGCGGAAGTGCATGAGAACCCCTGGAGGCGGGGTTACTCTCCTTTTATACTTGCATTAACGGCGGGCTGTGCGGGCGCAATAAATAGCGCAGTGGTGGTAATTTGCGCTTTTCCTACAGTAGCTTTGGTGTCTCATTTTGTAATCGTCTTCGAGGAGCGCCTTGCGGATTTTCGCGATCAAAGTTTGAGCGTTCATATTAGAGCCAGTTGTAAGGTTGAGTAGTTCTATAAATAAAAGGAAGGATTAGTTACACGACACAAGAGGGATAAGCGAATGAGGAGGAGATCGTGTGGAGAGGAAGGAGCGGGTTCGCAATATTAAGTTTTGGAGAGAGAGGTGTGCTTTTATTGTGTAAGCTATAGTTATCATGTGTTTGAAATATTCTGCGCGCTATTAGTGCAATCACTTAATAATGAGTTAATTTTATACGCAAGGGTGTCGCTAGTTACCTGGCGAGGCTTTTCCTGCGTTCGTGAAATATGTAGATAGGTGGAGCGAAAGCTCCTGTTACATAATTTGTTCATGTTGGAGTTGCGTTAGAAGGGCGTAGTTGTGACATGCGCGATATATATAAAAATGTGAGTTCTTTTGCTGAGTTTCAAAGATTAGAAAACCCAGTGCGGAACCTCCATGTAATAAAGCTGTAATAAATGAAAGATTTATTTTTGTTTGGGCAATTTTTTCCAGTAAGGTTTACATATATGACCTCTCTTTTCAGTGACTCCTTCTCTCTACAGCACAAGAGTAATTACTAAGGTTTTATCATTATATCCACGAGACATTGTGCAAAAGGCAAGAGATATGAAAGAGGCACACTGGAATATACCGAGAGTACAAGGGAGGCACAGAGAATACATTAGAGAGGAACAATACGAGGATGAAGGGAACAGTTAAAAGAAAGGGGAAGTAACTGAGTAGGAGGGGTTGGAGGCACATCTCAGCATGATGGTAAGAACGCCAGCCAATGGCATGCTGTCACACAAGAGCCCAGGGGGCGGACTTATGTCTGTTTACACCCCTCTTTGTGGGTGCGTAAGATGGAGCGGACGAGCTTAGGCGATTGGCGCTCTGATAAGTTTTGCGCTTTTCCTACAATATCGGGTCGCAACCTTTTTATGAAGAAGTCTAAGGCGAGTTTGTTCGGTATCTTTTTATCTTCGCCTTGGCATGCTATCTTGGTTTTTGCTAAAATCTTTTTTGCAAATTTGCCGACTGAGTCTTATCCTTGCCTCAGGTGATGCAGCTCATCGCGAACCATAGCCTGCTTCTTAAATTTGGTTGCTAAGGCTTTGGTCATTGCTTCCCAGGTTGCTTCTTCTGTGGGGCCAGGCTTTGGCACTTAACTTTAGCTCCGCCTGCTGAGAAAAGGCGCAAGAGACTTCTTGCATGGACGTGGGAAATATGTAAATTATCTACCAATTAGCGAAATAGTATGTATAGCCTCTGAGAGGCATAGTGGAGGTGCAATTCGCTGTTAGGTGCGTTGTTTTGCTGTAAAGCACGCAGGGTTTGAAGTGGCGTCTGAAGGCAGTTTGAAATGGCTTCCTAGAAGGCGTGGTGACTGGCGCTCGCTTTGCGCTTCTGCTACATTGCTTGTGGATGGCGCAGCTCTAGTATTGCTCTATGGAGCACTACTGGTGCTGGGCTGGTCGATGGTATGCAAGGGTGGATATGATGAAGGATGGAGCAGGGCTCAGTAGTTTACGGTAGACATAGTGAATTGTCTCGGTATCAGTGAGACTGATGGGGATCGATTATAGATCCAAGTAGTGGTGATTCGGAGTGTGGGTGGGAAGAGTGCGATTACTGAAGAAGAGGAATGAGGAGATGGAGAATTATAATAAGATACATGAGGTAAATTAATGGAGAATTCCGAAAGGAATGGAGAGAGTGTAACTAATTCCGAGGGGGATGGAGAGAATGTATCTATTAAAAGATAGTTTATGGGATATACGGCCCTACGAATATCGCGTTGCAATCCTTTTATGAAGAAGCCTATGGCGAGTTGTTAGGTATCTTTTTATCTTCGCCTGGTGTGCTATCTTGGTTTTTGCTAAAATCTTTTTTGCAAATTCGCCTACTGAGTCTTTTCTTGCTTCAGGTGATGCAGCTCATCGCGAACATTACTTAGCATAGCCTGGTTCTTAAATTTGGTTGCTAAGGCTTTGGTCATTGCTTCCCATTTTGCTTTTGCTTTGGTACTTAACTTTAGTTCCGCCTGCTGAGAAAAGGCGCAAGAGACTTTTTGCTTAGACTTGGAGAATATGTAAATTGTCTACCAATTCCCGGTAGTTTTCTAGGAATTCCTCAATTGTTTTATTATACTCGCCGGTTAATCTTTCCAAGCGCGTGCCCAAAAGTTTACTTGAAGCGTATAGGTCGGGTGAGTTGTAGCCGAACCTTTCATCTTGAGCTTGGTGGTTGTCATTCTTATTGTTATTGTTGTTACCATTACCATTACCAGAGTCCGTGTCGGACAAATCTGGTGTTTTTGGATACTATCAACGCGGTCTACTTTTCGCTGAGCTAGGGCGGCGTTTAGGCTTTTGAGTCTATCGGTCAATGAACTTTCGCTCTTTTCCTTTTCTTCCGTTAGGTATTCTGATTTTTCAGCAGTCTTTAACCAGGTTGAAGGTTGATCGCTGATTCTAACCTACTTGTGGAAAGTTGGTCTCTGAGATCTATAGGGCTTATCAAATTGAGTGTCGTTTGCACCAGCATGTCCATCTTCGCGTTGCAGTCCGCGTCTCTTCCGCGGGACATGCTCTCTGAGCACTTTCCCAGGGCGCGCGTGGGAAAGGCGGAGCCTCAATAAACCCTATGTGGCTAGTGGAGGGCCTACCAGCGGGATCTGCTTTGTGCTTGGAGGTCTTTGGAGTTTCTTCCACGTCCTCAGGCTGTTTCTGCTTTCTAAGCTTAGCGAGCCTTGCGAACGTCTCCTTTCTGACCTACTTGTTAGCGCGTCCCGGACTATGTACTTTTGTTCCTTATGAGGAATTTTGAGAAAGGCTTAATGAGATATTTGTAGCTTTTTATGAACAAAATGTTTTCCTCTTGAATTTGAGTCGCACATCTCTCGATTCTAATCAGAATGCAGGGTACCATTCGATAAAGCAAAAGCCCT